CGCCGTGCCCTGCTGCTGGCCACCGCTCCTGGCCGTGGCCGAGAAGAGACGCCAGACGGCCACGGGAAAGGTCTTTGTCCTTGGGAAACCCCGCAGGCCCCGCCCTCGGGTTCGGGGTGCTCTGCCCTCAGCCGTACCCCCGTTGCCGCCCATCGCCCGCTCGTGCAGGTGCCGGGAGATAGAGCCCCAAGAACTCACATCCACAGCCCGTGCTCCGACTCCCTGCTTGGCCATGTTGGCCATGATCCAGAAAGGTGTTGTCATGGCAAATATGGCCACTAGCATTCTGGGAGGGGGTGCATTGATGGGATCCTCCCCTCTGCTCAGCCCTGGCAGGACACTTCTGGGTGCTGCTGGGTCCAGTCCGGGCTCCCCAGTGCCAGAGGGACGTGGACATACTGGAAGGCCCATCAAGGCAATGAAGGAGCTGGAGCATCTTGCATACAAGGAGCTGTTTGAGCTGGCACTGAACAGCCTGGAGAAGAGAAAGCTCTTGGAGATCTTGTGTGTGGATCTGCAGACCTAATGGGGGGTATGGAGAAGGTGGATGCAGGCTCTTCCCAGTGGTGCCCAGTGACAGGATAAGATCCAATGGACACAAGCCAGGTACAGGAAATTACATCTGGACATAAGAAAAACTGTTTTCATTCCGTGAGGGTGGTCAAACAGTGGCCAAGGCTGCCCAGAGAGGTGGTGTAGTCTCCATCCTTGGAGATACCCAAAACCTAACTGGACCCGGTCCCATTGCTGACCTTCTGGAGTAGTGGTTCCACTAGATCATCTCCAGAGGTGCATCCCAGCCTCTCCAGTGCTGTCTCTGGCTCTGTCCGTCCTGGTGCCCTCCTATGCCATCAGCCCAGGAGCTGCCGGCAGGCTACTGCTTGAGGACTGGAAACAAGTTTGGGCACCACAGGATAAGAAACACCTTGAGAGGCTGGAACAGGTTCAGAGAAGGGCAATGAAGCTGGTGAAGGTTGTGTGGAACATCTTATGAGGAGTGGCTGAGGCACCTGGGATCTAGTCTGGAAAAGGCTGAGAGGAGACCTTACTGCTCTCTACAACTCCCTGAAAGGAGGTTGGAGTGAGGTGAGAGCTCACCTCTTCTCCCAAGGAACCAGCAACAGGACAAGAATCAATGGGCTGAAGTTGCCCCAGGGGAGGTTTCGACTGGATACTAGGACAAATTTCTTTCCTGTCAGAGTGGTGAGGCCTTGGCCCAGGCTGCCCAGGGGAGGTGCTGGAGTCCCCAGCCCTGGAGGGGTTCAAAAAATGTGTAGAGGTGGCACCTGGGGACACCTGGGGACGATCACGGCTTAGTGATCATGGTAGTGTTGGGTTAATGGTTGGAGTTGATGATCTTGGATCTTTCCAGCCTTAACAATTCTATAATCCTACAAGTATCAGTCAGCTGTACATTGATACACCATACTGGAACAGAACAAAGCCCACCAAGTATTTCATCCTAGCTTTTATTACAGAAAAGCGAGTAACAGGTCAGTCACCATGCCATGGGCGGGGGGAGAGCCAGAGCCAGAGCCAGCCCCACCTGCCAAAGCTCTCGGTACGGAATTCACTCTGCAGATGGACCCTGGGACACTTCGCCGCTGGAGGAACCTCAGCGCACTGGGTAGAAATCATCCAGAAGCTCTCCTATTCTTCTCTTTTCTGCAAACAGCAGCAGAGAGAGTTGTGAAAACCACGTCACCGTTTGAAATCAGTTCCGAAGAGTTTTAATATTAAGCCTTAAGCGAAACCAAGCCACCAAAAGTGTGGGTTTTGCTGCCAACAGCCAACTACTCGTTCACCTCAGAAACAAAGTATGAACTTCTTTTCCACGGGGCTGAACTTCAGATCCCCGTGAAGGGATCTCGGTGCTAACAGTTCTTTACTCCTACACATTCCTTCCAACATGGCATAATGTGGATTGCAATCCAACAGCCAGTGTCACCCGACTGGATTTTAACAGACAAAATTCATCAGTCTGCCGTTGCACTGCTGGGCTTGGTGACTATGTTTAGCAAAATGCTGTTCTTCACCAAGGCTCAAAGACAGCAAGAGCAACAGTGCTTCAGGTTTCCTGATGCTCCTATTTATTCTTTTTTCACCTGCTGCTTATTTTTGGAATATTCGTGACACTGTTTTTAAATTGACAGGTACTGCAATTTGAGGAGTATAAAGGAGATTTGAGCCAGGTGGGGGTCAGTGTCTTTTCCCAAGGAATAAATGACAGGACAAGAGGACATGGCTTCAAGTTGTTCCATGGCAGGTTTAGGCTGGACATTAGGAAAAATTTCTTACCCAAAAGGGAAGAAGCAACCAACCCCCAAAGGGTTGTCAAGCTCTATGCCAGGATGCCCAGGGCAGTGGTGAAGTCCCCATCCCTGGAGGGGTTTCCAAGCCATGGAGATGAGGTGCTGAGGGACATGGATTAGTGGGGACCTGGCAGCATTAACCATTGGACTTGATGATCTTGAAGATCTCTTCTAATTGCAATGATTTTATGACTCACGAGAATAAACAGCTGAATTGTGATTTTACAAGAATAAAACCTGTGATTTCTAACTTTCATTACTTTATTTATTCTTCAGTGTCACAAGTTTGGTTTGTTCTTATGTGGCTCTGCCATTTTTATATTAAATAATCTTTTATGAGGAAAAGTTGGTCATCAAGGCAGCTGATCAATAAAAATACCTATTTTCAGATCATAAAACCCTTAAAACTGTTGCAGTTTAGATTGTGAATAAGCA